AATTTGCTCCTTGTAAGATTCAATGTGCTAGTTGGGCGCATCAAGAATGAACGCAAATTGGTCACCAAAATATCTTTAGAGAGGTTATTGCACAAGAAGTAATGATCTTGAATCACTTCATGTGAGGCGCACATGGAGGATTCCGTTGTATATGCTTATCGCAAGAGGTGCTGATAAGGCTTATGTTTGGAATCTATAATTACGCAAGCTGTGGTCAATTTTTTTAATTTGTTGTGAGATGAATGGAATGTTGACACTAATTATGGTTTGTGTCATAAATGATTAGCAGATGACATGATGTCACGCAAGATTGGCTCACCCACACGAGCAATCACCCTTGGCGCTTGGGTGCGAGCAAGGATGAGACTAGTGGTTTATTTTTTATTTGGAGCCAAGAGAGGCTTAAATTATCCACTATGTATGTCGCCTTGGTTACAACCAAGATGAGGTCGTGTTAAGGACCAAACATGGATGTTAGTACCCACTTTCCATGTTGTGCCTGTTATGATTAGCCAGATGCAAGATCTCATTTGGCGCCTGGAAGGCGAGCAAATAGAGAATTCGAGTTAGGCACTAGAAAGCGACTAGACTAAGATTTGTACGGTGTATTGAGTATGACGTCACTCTTTTGGAAGAGTTACTCCACCGTAACATATATTCATACTATATGTGCTTAGCGACCAAGTAATGAGATGAGAGAATGGATCCCTGTTTCCTCACCGTGTGAGTCTTACATGTCATTATTGCTATGACTTTCATTTATGTACCCTTTTATGACTTTTGACTATGTCATAAGATAAGGGGTTGATGTTCTGCTACTTTGGTATGCTGCCTGCGGTCATGTATGATTCGGCCTTAAGGGACATCACTGGGAAAGCGGTCAATCCTAAACTAAATGGCATGAGGGCAAAGAGAAGATCATCTAGTATTACACCACTGTTGTATATTCACTGCCGGCAACTCACATCGTTCTTTATGAGAGACGGATTGAGTGTGAATATATTGCAAGAATTGAGAGGGTCAAACATGCTCTTTTTGAGAGATTAGAGATATTTTTTGGACCGGTGTAATTAGATGGGTCTGGGATATATAAGACACTATTTCTGTTCTTTTTGGGTTGATGTCTCTATGCTGGCTCATTTTGAGTTTCTAGTATAGAGCTCCCACATGCAGGTGTTCTCAGCAGTCGCACGGTGCATTGGCTAGTATGAGATTGTTCATTTTTTGAGAGATTGAGATAGAGATGTGGCAGTGTCATGCCAACTCATATACGAGTGAGAGATATTAGAAATTGGGCGCCTATGTGGCATGACCCTTTGAACCTTTTGAACCTTACACATGTAAGTTTGAATTTGAATTCAAAACTTATTTGGATAACCACTCATAATACCTATATCAATCATATCAATAGATATGGATAGATGGAAAGATGGATAGATAGATATTAGTTGTTATATATTTAATTATATACATCTGATATGATGTGAATAACATATCGATATCAGATACGTTATGTGTTTTTACCTATAACCTTTTTTCCCAGACTCTCTTTCTAACTCTCTCCCATATGAGAACGATCTAGCTTCTGCACTGTGACTTGTATGGGTGATACTCCTTTTGTAGTATCACTCCACTGTTGAGTTGGTTGTTCATATCCTGGAAGCACGTGATTTACCCACGAGATTCTTCGCTTCAAGCTCTACTAAAAGGTATGATTCTGATATTTTATCCTTCGTGTCATAATACTTTGATTTACACAAGTGTTCTAACAACTATGTTAGTTAATGATTTTAACACAATGAAAATTTGAAATATAGTTACAACAATTTAAATAAAATAAAGAGATAAGGGAGAGAGAGAGGCAAACAAATTTATAGTGGTTCGGCTTCAACTCGGCCTGCGTCCACTCCTCAAGCTTCGCTTGAGATTTTTCACTATGCTCTAGCTTCACGGGAGTGCTAGCAACCTCTTTACAAATGGAGCAATCCTCCACGGATTTTACACAGACTTTCTAAGTCAAGAACATTAAGTGTACTACACTCTTACAAGGTTGAAAAGAAGGTATTTTTGCTTTCACAGAAAGCTACAAGAATTATCTCTCAAGGATAGATATAAAAATAAAGCTCTGGTTTTTCCGTAAACCTCATACAGGAAAGATAGGCTTAAAGCTATACGTCTCAGTGTATAATTTCTGAAAGAGGATGTAAACAAAAATTGAAGAACACTTCTCAGATAATTTTTCAAAGAATAGATGTAAGTGATTATAGATCAAAGAATATTTTCTGGTTTTTTTTGTAACTTTTTTACATTAGAGGCTTTTGTATATATAATGAAACTTATAGCCGTTTATAGCCGTTGTATTCATTTGAATTTATAGTCGTTTATTGCCGTTGTATTCATTTGAATATCTTTCACTCTATCATTACTAATTTGAATACCTTCCACTTGAACCTTTTGAACTGCTGCTATGCTGGGCTGTTTGAACCTCTGTTTTTGGGTTGTTTGAACTCTTGATTTAATCAAATGTTAAATACATTATAACAACATTTAAGATAAAGGTTTAGGTGAGAAATAATGGAACAAATAAATTTTGATTCTATTTTTCTCTTCCAAATAAATTAAAACATAATTAAATAAATCATCAAAATAAATAAGTCTGACAAAAATCAAACCCACGGAATCAAAATCAAAATCAAACCCACCGCATTTGGAGTTGCTTACCTTGCGAACATGGTACGGATTGGGTTATGGAGTGGTTCGTCCATGGTCCCCTCGCTTTGTTTTCTTCTCCTCTCTTCCTCTTTCTCTTGCCTCTCTGTTTCTCTTTTTTCTCTAAAATCAGTTTCAGGAAGGAAGAAGGAAAAAGAACCAAAAAATCATTTTGGCACTCGAGGCATTTGGGCCTCTCTAGTTTCAAGCTACGAGGCTTTATTCATATTAAATATTATAATTTTAATTTCATGAATTTGTAACAAATTTTTAACTATGGGTAATTTTTCCATTAGAATTTAACATGGGCCCACTGGGATGTCATTAGTCAAAAGGTTTGACTTCTAAGATTCTGTTTGTTTGCAGAGATAGAACGGAAGAAATTGATAGTGGGGGGATTGTTATTAAGGAAATTAAGTAAAATTGTGTTTATTTTAATGGTAATTGTTAATGTGGGGATTATTAAATTATTACCCTATAAAAGAAATATAAAATATTAAAACAAATAAAATTATAATTTTTACTTAACAAAAAATACTAAAACATTAAATATTAATGTTTAAAAAAATGCCCAACATATAAATAAAAAAATAAAAATAAATAAACTTAATCCCATGGGACTAATTTCCTAATACTATCTCCACTTCCTCCATCTCAATCTCAACACCATGGGATTATGAATCCCCTCCCTATCTCTCAAAACAAACACAATATATAATGAGTCTCACCTCCATCTCAATCCCAATCTCACCTCTATCACCCAAAACAAACGGGGCCTAATAGGTTTGAATCATGGGACAAGTGTACGTTTGTCGACCTTTTGCTTTAAGAAAATGTTATAAATCCCCAATAATCTATTAAATTCGAATAATGTTATATGCACTAATTAATGCACTAACTAGTGTACCAATTGATGACGTGACATAATTTGAGATATTTTTAGTATTTGTGATTTATATAATGAGTGGGATCAATAATAATGTCATAACTAGTGTTGGTATACTGGTTAATACGTTAATTGGTTCATGCAGCACCACTCATTAAATTATTTACCAAACTTTTTATATGGGTGTGGGATTTATACAAACTCACATATGTATGGATCTTACAACCATATAAGAGATTTGATAAAAAAAAATTTAATAAATTATTTAAAATTCCTAACATAACCCTTTGCTTTCTTTTCACACTACAACAAAATGTATTTTTGGCGACTAAAAAATATTTAGTCGCCAAAAGTTGTGGAATTGGCGACCAAAATATCTTTTAGTTGGCAAAAGTATAATATTTAGCTACTAATTTTTTTTTAGTCGGTGTATATTGATTATTGGTGACTAAGAAAAAATTTAGTCGCCAAAATGCCACAATTGGCAACTAATAAATGTTTTAGTTGCTCTATGATTAGTTTTGGCTACTAAAATTATTTGGTCGCCGAATGAAAAACAAAATATATTTTTTATCTTTGGCTACCAAAAGTTTGGTCGCCAAAAGTGTGTTTTCAGTTACTAAAAATATTATAGTCCCTGTGTAGTTAGTTTTGGTTACTAAAATTATTTAGTCTCTGAATGAAAAATAATTTTTTTTTTATCTTCAGCGACCAAAAGTTTGATGGCCAAAAATGTGTTTTCAACAACTAAAAAATGTTTTAGTCAGTGTGTAGTTAATTTTGACTACTAAAATTATTTAGTCGTTGAATAAAAAATAAAAATTACTTTTTATCTTTGGTGATCAAAATTTTAGTCACCAAAAATTTATTTTCAGTGACTAATTTATTTTTTAGCCGTCAAAGAATTAAAATAATTAGAGGAAGACATTTCAAATTGTGAAGGGATTTATAAAATAATTGGCGACTGAAAACGTTTTGGTCGCGAATTGTGTAAACTATATATTTTCAGCGCCTCTCTCTCTCTATTTTCAGCGTCTCTCTTCCTTCCTCTCTTTTCTCCTCTTCCATCACCCACGGAAGCTCGATCGGAAAGCAAATCAGAGTCCAATCCCTCTCCCAATACAGTAAACCCCATGTCCCCCCCACAGTACATCCAACCTCCATCCAATCCCTCTCCCAATACAGTAAGGTCATGTTTGTTTGGGCGGACTGGATTAGCATTCCCATGACTAATAGTCCTAGGACTACAAATCCGTTGGATTATGTATCCTATCTTAACTAATAGTCAAGTTTAAAATAATTAGTCTCTATTTCAATTGTTTAACCAAACATTGGATTAATAATTTTATTGGACTATTAGTCCAATCCCAAGCTCATGTCCACCCAAACAAACATGGCCTAAACCCCATGTCGCCCCACAGTACATCCAACCTCCATCCAATCCCTCTCCCAATACAGTAAACCCCATGTCCCCCCACAGTACATCCAACCTCCACAGTACGAACCCTGGTGTTCCGATCCAATTGCTGAACGAGATGAGGAGAGTTGGTGTGTTGTTCTTCGAGGAGTGTCCAATGGTTGAGACGCTCAGGTACTCTTACGATTCCAATTCGCTTGCTTCTTAAGGCTATGGAAGCCTTATGTTGGTTTGCCGAAGCAACTGATTCCTAAGAGAAACAGAGCTCCAGCATTTGTCCTCTCTCTCTCTCTCTCTCCACTTTGTTTGCGACGCCTGTTTTGACCTTGCGTTTCGTAGCTTCACTCAATTTCTTTGTTTAGAAGGAGGTTAACACTACAGCAATTTATTTGGTTGAAGTGGTTTGATTTCTATAAAATTATGGGTTTGATCACCAAAATGGGTTCAATTTAGGGTTTATGGGTTTGACAGAGAAAAAATTTTGATGTCAAAAATCAAAATCAATGAAATGTGATAGTGAGAAACTTTGGATTTGGAGTGGGAATCACAATTGGGATCGTGGTTGGGTATTATCTGTTTATCTATTTCCAACCAAGTGATGTCAAGGTCAGTGTCTCTATTTCTTTATCTTCACACTTCAGGCATTTTGATTTTTGGTTCTAATTGTTTTCTTCAACATTTTATTTGTCTTTTTTCTTCGTTAATTCTTATATAATTCATCTGTGCAGTGGTCTGGGTGTTTTTCAATTTAGATCAAGTTTGACAAGTTGAAAAAAAAGTTAAAAAGTCAAAAAGTTATTCAAAAATATTTATTAAAAGTCAAAAATTACAACGGTACAAATCTCGATCCTAATTTTTCCATACATACTAATTTATATGATTTTTTAATATACATTTTTTTATAAAAAATCAAAAAATTAATCCAAATATTTATATTTTTTTCTTCAATATTTTAATTTAAAAAAATAAAAAGTGCACTTATTTAAAAATCTCAAACAACCGCATAGTCATTTGACTGTAATATCACTCTGTAAACCAATGAAGAAGGTGCGTGGTAATGACCAGAGGTAACTGTAGATTCCTTTGGAGTGTTTCAGGTGGTTGATTTGCAAGTATTTGCTTCTCCACACATTACCTTCAAGCCATTGGTTCCAAGCTTTCCTTGTTTTGCCACAATATTATTCTCTCTCTCTCTCTCTATATCTCTCTCTCATGGAGAAGGTGCGTGGTATTGACCAGAGGTAACTTGAATTACCGATATGTTTGATTAGGAATGTTTTGGTTTATCGTCAGAGTTTTGGGGACTGCATATGCTCATCAGATGTGTATTGTATATTCCTATATATGCACCATTTAGAGCTTTGGTCCCTACTATATGATGGAGATGGCATCAATCATAGCCAAAAGATTAACCTTCTTGCAAAGTTTGACTCTTCCTCTCTCTCTCTCTCTCTCTCTCTCTCTCTCTCTCTCTCTGAATTTGCAGCCACATGTGGACTTTGGTTTGAAAGTGCTTGGAGCAGATGCTATGTCCATTCCTGGCCTGTATAGGTTTGTTCAGGCATGTTAAATTAATTAATATAGTTCCCTTCACTTCAATGTCTCTTTATTTTTAGATTTTTATTTGATTCTTCATCCAGAGGGTGGGGGTGCTTAGGCACATCTTCATTGCATAAATTTTGAAAACATGCAACAACCACAACAAAAAATTGGTGGAAGATGGTTTAGCTAATGTGAATTAGCTAAACTTGTGATATACTAATGTAAACATTGTAATCATATATTGGGAACTAAACTGGGTGTAGTTTTTAATTTTGGTTTCACAACTAGTTGTATTTTTTTTCATTTAGGAGCTTATCAAAGATCAAGTTGCTAATACGTATCTCTGGCCCAAAACCCTTGAGGTACAAATTATGGATCCTACAAAGTAAGTGTATGTTTGATCTATATAATTTTACTTTGGCCCTCTCAAAAATCACAAAAACCTCATTAGCCTATGTAGTTTTGAGTATTTATAAAAGAATTAGTAGTTTGGAAAAACTATGAAGTTCATCAGAATTAGCAGTTAAACTATCCAAAATAAAGTTGATGCTGATTAGTGATTTGAAAATGTTAGAAATCCTTGTGTTGGTAACAAGTCACGATCACATTGATGCTTTACTGAATTCTTTTAAAGCACTAGATTTTAACAGGGTTTTAACTAATGTCTATTGGCTGATTGTGTGTCTTTACAGCCTATAAAGAAAAACAGAGATCCAGTTGAACAGAATACCTAAATGCACTTTTACACCGGTACACTTTGCGTTATTTAGGTTGCTAATATTTCAATAATGTTAATTTCATTTTCAAAATATTATGATTGTAGGGATGAAACTACAACTTAGCCGAAAAAGAAGAAAAAAAAATCCTCTTATAGATCTAATAACTTTTTTTTGGCAAAGAAATTATGTTCAAATGTTATATAGAACTAATGGGTGTAATTTTTGTTTGTAGATGGATTTTGGCATAGACATGTAGATCTTCCATTTTTGTGTACAGAGGATAATTTAGACTTTTGAATAATTCCCTGTTACTTTTGAATAATTCCCTGTTTTTGTCGTCCTCTGCTTTTTGTGTGGAATTTGGATGAATCGTACATATAACTTTTGGTGGGGTACTGAATACTTTTGACATCTAACAAATATTTATTGTTGTGGTATATAGATTATATTTTGTAGTGGTACAAATTACCATGCCAAATGGCCATTTCGCGTAGTAGTAAATATATTTGTGTATGGAGGACAATGTTTTTGTATGCTTACTTGTTATGTATGAAATTATTATTTCCAATTGGAATATTTACTTTAGTTTGTATAGAATGACATTATAAATTACTCTTTTTGTTGGATGGTTGTGAGTGAAATACGTGTTGTCGAATGGGTAATAATATATACGTATTGTTTTGTTTTTATACATGTTACAAGTTGTGTGAGATACATACAGGTTGTGGACAAATTAATTAAAATAAAATAAATAAATAAAAAACATAAAATGATATTTTTTGCGACTAAACAATTGGTAGCCAAAAATGGAGTTAAATATTTTTAGCGACTAAATAGTTAGTAGCTAAAAAAGAATTAAATGGAAACAAATCTTTTGGCGACTAAATATTTAGTAGCCATTTAAAAAAGACTTTAGGTGACTAATGATTTAGTAGCTAAACAAAAAAATTAGACTTTAGGCGACTAAACTATTTAGTAGCTAAACAAAAAAAAAAAAATTAGACTTTAGGCGACTAAACTATTTAGTAGCTAAACAAACAAGGCCTTAGTAGCTAAAAAAAGTTAGATGAACAAAAAAAAAAAAAAAAAAAAAATCCGCGACTAAAACTTTGATAGCCCTAGATCATTCAAGTTTTGACAACAAAAATTTTAGTAGCTAAAAATGTGATGTTAAATTAAATTCTAAACTTTTTGCGTCTAACAAAATAGTTGTCAATTTAGCCTATCAGCGACTAAATATTTTTTTGTCACCAATACCTTTACTTTTGGTGACTAAAAAATTAGTCACAATTTTAGTACTTTCGACTTAGGCCTCATTTGGGAATAGGCTAATTTAGTAACTTTTTGGCTATTTGGCTAAAATATGAGCTAAAAAAAAACTAGTATGTTTGGGAGGACTTTTTGACTTTTTACGAAACGATGTGCAAAAAGGAAAGAGAAAAGAGAATCTTTGACTTTTTGGTATAGATTGTTGTTTTGACTTTTTTAGTAACTTTTTGGCTAAACGGGCTGGTTCCCAAACGAGACCTAAATATTTTTTTAGTCGCCAATACCTTCCCGACAATCTTCCCACTACAAATCCGGAGACCAAAATATTTAGTCGGAAAAATATTTCGGCGACTAAAATCTGATTTTTGGCGATTAAAAATTAGTCACCAAAAGTGTAATTTCTTGTAGTGTCATGATCCATGTTAACAACAAGACGACATAGTGGAAGTACGTTAAAAGTTAATTTTTGACTTTTTTTAAATTTTTTGTAAGAAAATGAAGTGGGTTCACTACAAAAAAATTGATTTTTTGCGGCGGCAAAACGCCGTCACAAATACTCCAAACGCCGTCTCAAAAGGTTTTTTGCGACGGTAAGTGGCTTTTTGCGACGGCAAGAGGGGGGTCGCAACAAAGGGGTTGCAAAAGGGCTTTAGCGACGGCACAACACCGTCGCCTTTGCTTTGCGATAGCAAAATTCCTTTTTTGCGACGGCAAAATTCTGTCACAAATAACGTCTGAAAATCTAAATTTTTTTGAGACGACACTGTGTTGCCGTCGCTAAAGAAGTCTTTTGTGACGGCAAAACTACCGTCGCTAAAGGTTTATTTGAGATAGCAACCTGAGCCGTCGCTAAAGGACTATTGGCGACGGGAAGAAAACCGTCGCTAAATGCGTTCCATTTCAGCCAAATCCCTATCTTTTGCGATAGTAAAGGGCCGTCGCAAAAAACTCTGGGTTTTTGTTTTTTTGAGACAGTATGTGCTGCCGCCTAAAAAAAAAAACTGTATTAAAATTATTAAAAATATGAAAATCACCTGTATTAAATGAAAAATAACTAAAAAAAAACCGATAATTACATAATAATATAAATACATACATAAACAAAAGTTGGCACATAATGAAAATTTATAATGCTGCTCCATTCATAACAATACATAAATAAAAATTCATAACAATAGTCGATGATCCCACTACATAATGTCGCATAATACATACATAACGTTGTTCACAAATTTAAACAACGTAAATCAAAACCAAAAGTTTTCGTCTTCATTCTTTCTTGGGTTACAAAAACAAAAGTTGGTCATAATCTTTACACGCTCGCATTCCACAAGAAGCAAACTGCTACTCAGGAAATATCTGAAAATAACAAAATAAAAATAATTAATGACAATATAATGGTGTTAATATTTTAATTACAGAAAAACATAAAAAATTAACTACTATATAATTACAAAGATAGTTTAGTAAATAATTTTAGCTAGACTGAAATTCGGCCCTAACTCCCAAACTGGGAACCCGATTGGCGCCCCGTCTTCTCCCACAAGTCTCTCGTGCCTAGGTGGTCGTGCGTGCCAAGTTTCGTGCTAAACCAACGCCGTTTGGTGATTTTGGGGCGTTAACACCTCGAGTTCAAGTTTCTTAAGGAACTAGTTTGCTTAGACTAAAATCCGACTCTAACTCCCAAACCGGGAACCCGATGCGAGCCCTGTCTTCTCCCACAAGTCTTTCGTGCCTAGGCATTCGTGCGTGCCAAGTTTTGTGCTAAACCGACGCCGTTTGGTGATTTTGGGGCGTTAACACCTCGAATTCAAGTTTCTTAAGGAACTAGTTTGAGTAGACCGAAATCCGACTCTAACTCCCAAACCGGGAACCCGACACGAGCCCCGTCTTCTCCCACAAGTCTCTCGTGCCTAGGCGTTCATGCGTGCCAAGTTTCGTGCTAAACCGACGCCGTTTGGTGATTTTGGGGCGTTAACACCTCGAATTCAAGTTTCTTAAGGAACTAGTTTGCCTAGACCGAAATCCGACTCTAACTCTCAAATCGGGAACCCGATGCGAGCCCCGTCTTCTCCCACAAGTCTCTCGTGCCGTGGCGGTCGTGCGTGCCAAGTTTTGTGCTAAACCGACGTCGTTTGGTGATTTTGGGGCATTAACACCTCGAGTTCAAGTTTATTAAGGAACTAGTTTGCCTAGACCGAAATCCGACTCTAACTCCCAAACCGGGAACCCGATTCGAGCCCCGTCACACTTGATGAAATTAGAGCTTT